AGGTAACATCACACAACGGGAGAAACCCAATTACAGGATGAATATTACAGCTACAATAAATACACATTAACACAAGAAACATATACATTTAAAATAAGTAAATATAAAAATTACCAAAAAGTACAAACCTTAATCAGAAACAATGGTCAGTCGATCAATAAAAAAATGCGAAACGGTAAAGTTACATAAGAATTAATATATCTAAAAATCATGATAACAACAAGAGAAACAACAACATAAGTAGGTAATACAAAAAACTAATAAGAAATTAAAAATCCGATAACTCAATTGTGAGAATAGAAAATTCTTTTAATATGTGCTAAAGAAGTATTAAATATATCCAGGCTATTCTCCATATTATGATAATAAAGTATTTGATGTAAAGGAGACCACCGCAACATGTTTGTGCGCGAAGAAGGAAGATTAAACAAACTATTTGATCTGGCATTTATTCTAGGAACATGGTAATTTATTTGTGTTGTAAGCTCAATGCAATCAATATCGTGGTTGACAATTTTGTACAAGAACATTATCGAGTACATAACCCTCCTCCTAATTAAACTATGCATTTCAGACCTATCCAATAACAACTCCTGAGGATATCCCAGAGCTGGATAGACTCCATCTAAGATGAAACTGGCCGATTTAAGAAACCTCCTCTGCACTTTTTCTAATGATGTTGTGTAACTATTATAATAGGGAGACCAAACCACAGAGGCATACTCCAACTTGGGTCTAACAAAGCACGTATATAAGGTACGTAATGTAGATATATTCTTAAAGTTAGGTCTTTTTAAGGGAACATATTCATGGAGGGCATCATTTATTTTATTATAAAACTGTTGAGTTATATCATTTACCGACAAGTCAGTAGAAAGCGACCAATCAGTGTTAAGTTCATTATATAAACCAAGAAAATCTGTATGTTTAAAGTTGAATGAATGATTGTTTTGCACTTATTATATCTTTCCCTTTTGTACCTAGCAAAAAATGATGAGAGGATATAATCTTACGTACATATATTTTTAATATTTAAATTCGTTGCAAATAACATTGGATATTTGGTAGTTTCAACCCCCGTTGTTTGGAAAACAATGAAATTTATTGCAAATAGAGATTCTATGAATAAAAACAATGAAATTCGAGAGGAAAATATTCCGCTTTCTAGCGAGCGCAAAAGCTATTTTATTGGTCCTCTATTCAAACGACTGATAACAGCGACAAACGAAAATAAGCTGCAACAAAACCATCCAACTAACTGTATATGTATGCTGTCGATGCAAATTGCATTTACATTGCCTAGGAATGCGTTTCAATTTAAATGCTGGAAATTGCAAATTTTTCATCTGGCCGTTTTTACTGTGAAGGAATATTGGTGGTTTTGATCTGACCCAGTCGAGAAGGAGATGGATGTCAAAATTGGACTTTCACTCCTGACGAGTTTGTTCGGGAACAAACAAGAAGTCGTGAGCGAGGTTTTCAGGTCAAAGGATCACTAATTATTTGTTTTTGAGATAATACTAATATAAGACTAACTACATAAGACACAAAATAAAAAAAAATTTGCTAATCTGGAGACTTCATTAAACTATCTGCATGTACTTTGACGCATTGAATCCGAATCCGTGGTTAGTTTAACTCCAGGATTTGAGTAAGTCGCTAAAAATGGCTGCAAAATCCCGAAAAATCGAGTAAAAATGGGCATCAGCAATGTTATTTTGAAAACAGCCCGAAATAGTTGAAGCCCCAATTTGATCACTTAAAATTGTGAGGATTTATCAGGTGAAAATAATTTTTTCAGCGCAACAAAATACATATTGGAAATCTAATGTGTTGTCTCAAGGTCAGACTATTTTTTTTTATTTTGTATGCAGCACTAATTATTAAATTTTCCGTTTTTATTCGATACTACCAAAAAAATTGTCGCTGGTTTAAATTTTCTGGGTTCAATATTACTCGATGATTTAAACTACTGGATAACATTAACTGTTTTCAATCGAAACGAATACACAAATTAATAACAAAAATCTTACAAACAAAAAGATCGTCAGTAGTTAATCATTAACCCAAGTAAGTCCATCTTAAGAGATGTTTAAATTATCTTTTTTTATTGATTTGTGACGTTGAATTCACCATTAAAGTCTTGTAGAGTATTTCATTAGAACCCTGTATAATAGAAGAACTGGGAATATTTGTAACATAAAATAAGTGTCATCTAGTAAACCTTCGAGGATATTACATGTGACTTTTCTTATAATTAATGATTTCCAAAATTTCGTTTTTTTTTTCAAATATTTCGAAAACTAATCATGTTAGCCTCGATTTTTTAGAGGCATAATGTTTACGCAACTTTGCCCCCATTTAAGCTACTTCGTACCTCTTACCGCTTCCGAGATCCCTGTAGTGAGAAGCGAATTTGTACATTGTATCGAAACGTTTATTTAAATTTCCCGCCGCATGTCCCCATTCTAACTCTATTGCGCTGTTGCCGTTTCTTCTTCCCGTTTATTACTTGGCGGACGACAAGTCGGAACTTTTAATGTTTGGTAATTTATTTCTCAGTGAAATGTGCGATGACCTACTCTTTTTCTTCCTCTCAACTAGTAATTAATGATTCAGGTAAATATTTATATTTTTTTGGTCTTGCCATTTCCGTTTTTTCACTCATAATTCGATTGTAATGGTATGCATCATAGCATTTCCCATAAGAATCTTTGTTAAATATTCAAATGTTTGGCATTAATAAAAGACAAAAACAAATCGATAAATAATTCGAGAATTCGCATTGCAAAAATAATATATCTCAATAATATTTATTTATTTATTTTATTTATTTAAGAAGTTCTTGCCTTACAGGTATAAACCCAATTACAAAGCAAGATGACAAGAAAATACAAGAAAAAACACAGATACATCTTACATAAGTTAACAACACAAGAAAATTAACAACACAACAACACAATAAAAAAGTTGAATAACACAGATTATGATGAAAAAATAGAAAGAAAATGCCAGAGTTTTCAATGAATCAATGCTTTGGAAACGGCTGACTTTTAGCAGAGTACTGCTAAAAATATCAAAATTTAATTGACTGTTACATACATCACACATTAAATACAACGGAGAGAATTTTAAAGTGTTCGTTCTCGGTGTAGGTAAATAAAAGACATTAAAATGCCTTTGAATTGTTCTGGGTACATACAAATTTAATCTTGATAAAATATCAGGACAATCAATAAGATTGTTAATTATCTTATACAATGTGATTAGCATAAAGTATTCTCTGCGATTTTTTAATGAAGAAAAGTTAAACCTCCTTAACAAGTCATCATGTGGAAAACCCTGCTCGGGATAAAAACCAACGCTTTTATATGTCAAATATTTCAAAAACTTCCGCTGTATTCCCTCCAATTTGGTATCGTAGACATCATAGCTCGGAGCCCAAACAACTGCCGCATATTCCAATTTAGATCTAACATATGATGTGTAAAGTATCTTAATTACATCACAATTTGAGAAATCACGTGTACATCGTACAATAAAACCAAATGATTTTAATGCCTCAGAAATTACAGTATTTATGTGATGAGAAAAAGATAGTTTTGTGTCAAATAGGACACCTAGATCCCTAAACATATCTACTCTAGAAATACGATTGCCATTCAGTGAATAGTGATATGCAGTTGGCGTCTTTTTTTTAGTAAATGACATACTATTGCATTTTTTAATGTTTAATTGAAGCCCATTTGATATACACCATTCCCCAATCACCTCCAGATTTTTTTGAAGTTCAATACAGTCCTGTATACATTCGACTCTTTTATACAATTTTACGTCGTCAGCGTATAACAAAAATTTTGCATTGAGTTTATGGCCTATGTCATTAATAAAAATATTGAATAGCAGTGGACCTAACACGGAACCTTGTGGCACGCCTGATACTGCAACATATCGAGTTGATTTAAAGCCACGAATCTCAACATATTGAGTACGACAATTAAGATAAGACTTAAACAACGCAATTAAGTCATAAGAGAGACCAAAATGTGAAAGCTTATTGAGCAGAAGATGGTGATCTAAGCGGTCGAATGCTTTAGTGAAATCAAGATATATAACATCAGTTTGATGACCATTATCTATTGATTCAGCAATGTCTTGCGTAACAATCATGAGATTTGTTGCCGTAGATCTACCTTTGAAGAAACCATGCTGATACGGTGAGATTAGATTTTTTGTTAAAGAAAAAATTGAATCATGAAGTAAAAACTCGAATACCTTACAAAAATTACATATAATTGACACTGGTCTATAATTATTAACATCAGATCTGTCACCTTTTTTATATATAGGACTAACTTTAGATGTTTTCCAAATAATAGGTATTGTTTTGGATTTTAGACAGAGATTAAACAACATTTGTAGAGGTTTGCTAAAAACAAACCTACAGTCGCGAATTAAAAACGAAGGCACAAGATCCGGTCCAGCTGTTAATTTGGGTTTCAACTTTTTCATAGCGCTTACTATTTCTTGTTCTGAGAAAGACTGAATGTTAATAGTAGGCGCGTAACAAACTTCATTTTGAAAAATCAAATTTATCGAGGTATCATGCGAAAAAAAAAAATTGGGTCACTTTTGATATCGCGTTCCGACTTTTTTATGAATAAATTATAAGACTCCTTTATATCGGATTTTATTTTATTATGAAATATGAAATTAGCTGCATTTTTTCGTAGCACTCGATCCTCCTTAAGATCTTTGCTTCAACTGATTTGAATGGACAAATGCCTATTTATTCTTATTTAGTATTATTGCGGTTTTCACAGACTTATTATTATCGCGAATGATTGTTTATATTTGTCTTACGAGTATTTAAAATGGTCTATTGCTATAAATTCTTTGTAAGCGATGTTTGTTGTTCTTTTAGCATAAAGAAAGAACTGATTATCACACTGAGCAATGAAAAAACATACATATAGGGAATTAATAATAATATACACTAATAATTCAAATAACATTTCTTGTAATATTGCAACCATAGGACAATGGACGGAGCTACCGTTTGGGCAAATATAAATATACAAAAATCTTAACATAATTCTTAATATAACTAATAGCAACTAAATAATTAATAAATAGGACATTTTAGTACACTTCAAAAAATAACTCATATTTTTTTTTCACTCAAATTATTTGTCCTATTAAATATCCACAAACAGTAATTGTTTTGGATCTTGAGGAAATAAAATAACCAGTCCCAGTACTACCGCAGTTTGTAACTTTTTGCAGATCTTCAAATTTTTCACGCCTTCAGTATTGCACAACATACTTTTTAAATTCAAGAGGGTTACCCCTTCTTTCTTCTTTATTCTCGAAATTTAGCCTTAACGAAAGCCGGTAGGGGAATCAAATACAAAAATAAATTAAACACTATCATCCCCAGGGCGAACGCAAAAGTTATTCCAATATTCAGGTCCTCCTCCAATATTCCACTAAATATCACATCGGTGTGGTCACGGCTGTATCTTTCTGACAAATACGACTGCCCGCTGGCGTATCTGCAATAAGCGCTGTTATGACCGTTCAGCAGGGATGTTTCGATTAAATTCATATTGGTGCAGTTGCGCTTTGTATCAAAGGCAAGCGCTTGGTTCAACAGTGGGTTTGTGAAAACTTTCCTGTTGAGGAAAGCAGAGGCGTATCTGGTTTGTGTGGCGTATGTCAGGTAATACAGCCAGTCCTGAAGCCCCTTGATTGACCTGAGAACGTAGACTTTTATTAGAGTTTCTTTCGTGTGTTGTAAAAATATCCTTTACCTTAAAATTCCACTGCTGAGTGTGAGGCAGACGCAAGTTATGTATATGCTAAACACAGCTGCGGAAAGATGATCTTTGACTATCATTAGAATGGCCATGGTTTGTTGTTCGGAGAAAATATAACATGCCCAGAGTATCAGCATAAAGTACAGGTAGTCCAAGGTGTTCTGGAAGCTTCCAATAAATCTGAAACGTTTAACGTCAAAAATGCGTCTAAATTTTTAGGATGTTATGCTTATGCTTATGTTTACATACAAGGTGTAACAAAAATAAGGTTTCGACTACTTCGAACTAATTTCGTGAGATATCGTATCCGGTTTTTTGGGATGGGAAATTCGAATTTACCGACGATTTCATTATATCTTCTAGAGGGCACCACAAGCGACCATTTAGGACTCATTTAAACTGCCAGAACCATTTTGTGCCATTTTGGGATGGAAAAAATTTTCCTCCAACTTTTCTGCTTAAAATAGGTAATATCTCTATAGCCAACCGTATTCAACAACAAAAAAATTCAATTTGTAAATGCATAAAAAAATAGTTTCAAAGTTATTTTCAACAGTGATAAACGAAATTATAGCCCGGTCAAATTAGTCATAAAAATAGTGGTCAAATAACGAAAATTCCGACAGAGCTAAATTTTGGTGGAGACCTTGGATACAACCTCTAGAAAAGTGTCAAAAATCCCCATCGATCCCATGTGTGCTAAAAAAGTTATTCGGAGTCAAAGGTCAAAATTTTAGGTTTTTTGAATTTTTTTCGAAAACGGAAAGTTTTATCAAAAAAAGTACCCCCGATAAGAATTATAGATCTTAAAATTGTCTACAAAAATGGTCCTCATACTTTTTTTTCTAAAAATCACCATTCCTGAGATATCGCGATTCTAAAAGTTGAAGGAGTCACGTTCTACATATATGCCACGTATATACATAGTCAGGCACTTAATACAAGTAAAAATGCCTATTTGTGTTTCTTATATGTATGAACTATACTATTCTGAGAATATACACTCAAAAAAAACTCGGTCCCTTAGTCAAAATGACGCAGATGTCCTTATAATTGAAACAGCAATAGAACAATTTAATGCAACAAATACAACTATTGTAGTTGGTGAAGATGTTGACTTATTAATACTACTCACTGCAAGGACTCCAATTGATAAAATTATATACTCTTTAAAACCTGGAAAGGCTCAACAGCGAATACAATTCTGGACTGGATTCGAAAGTCACTTTGTAATACATTGTTGTAGTGATTGCTGTGATGTTTTTCGAGAGTACATTTAATAGCCGTATTTTCAAGTTTTCTTTTGAAAATGACGCATTTATTTACCAATCGCAAAGCAAAGCAAATCGAAAAATCGAAGCAATCGAACATCTTCTACGAAAATCAGATTTTAAAATCATTTTTCTCAACCCAATTCCATGTATTTACCTCATTTTGACATAACGGACATGTGACCAAAATATTTGACATAAATTCTAATTCTAATCTAATCTAAAAATCTAAAAAATTGCTAATTATTATTAACCTGTTTTAAAATATATGCTTTGCAATGTTTATCAGTGGAGTGTGCTTTTTTGTAAGTAGTGATAGACATTTTTGTCGAAATGACCCACAAGTAGAATAATAACAAACCTGCGGGCATTATTCTAATTTATAGGGAATGTCGTCAAAATTCTGCCCAAGCATCTCAGCTTTATGCGGAGCTCTATGTCGAGCTCTATGCTAATGACATACATCCCAGTCTCCGAGAATTTGTTTACCTTTGCGTCAGCGTGACTCAGTAGCGACGAAATTTTTGCAGATGCCAAAACGTTTAGAAGCATTGGATGCTACTAGTTACAGAAGAGAAGAACGGTTTCATTCGTAGAGAATCAACAACAATAACCGGAATCAACATCAGGGAGTTTTGATAGCGGATCCTCCCCCGCAACCTAGCCCGAGAACAACAAAGGCAGTAAGGTACTTTGGAAATGGGAAACTTGTTTTTATTACAGAAATATCCTTACGAAGTACGAATTAAATTAAGTTATCGAATTTCCAAAATAGTCAGTGGCGTCGAAATTCCGAGATCGTCAATGGCATTGCCCCCAATATCACCGCCACTGGTTGACAAATTTCTTAATCATCTCAGATATGTTTCCCCTTATCCAAGTAAATTATTAGTTAATATTTAATGAAAAAATAATTTATTAGCAATTTTTAAAATGTGTATTTTTATTAATCTTTTGACTTACGGATAAATAATTGCACTTGCTCCTGCTGTGGACAAGAAGGAGAACGGTATAGAAACAGCGTTGTAAGTTAACAGGAATAAAGTGCCTCCGTACAAGCCTTCCTGAGATTCTTGGAAGTATCTTGTTCTATACGCAGGAACTGAAAACAAAGATTGAGGAGATACATTTTTTATTCGTTTTTTTCCAGTTGAAAACTCTAAGTGATTCAAACAAGAAATTACATCATACGGCACATGAATCGCGAAATACGTTTCCTGTTTCTCGCTTTTTTGAATACAGAAATACAGACCCAGATGACTGATTTCCCTTCCCAAAAATTCCAATTTTTATTAATTGTTCTTCCGCACGGCTTCTGATATATATGCGGAAGTAATCCTACCTTTTGATTAAATTTGACGGAAAATCCCTTTTGCGTACAGAAGTCGAACTTTATAAAGAACAAAAAAAAAGGATTTTTCCAGACAAAAGTCGGATTATTTTCGCTTAAGTCGAAATACGGAAATGGGCAATTAGCTATATGAATTTTAATTGCTGTAACCCCTCATCAGAATTTAAAATTTTCATAATACGAGATTCGTTCAAGTTCCGTTTTCAACCATAACTTGCTTTTAGCCTCACTTACACTGGTGTCATTTAAGGGAAAAAATACATCATTTCTTTTATTAGAAAGATGCATTGTGTTAATTTTTTTTCTGTTAAGGTCCGAGAGTAAATCGTACATTCCAGGTTCGTACTTGCTTTTCATAAAACGTGATAAAAATAGACACATTCATAGAAGATAAATTTTGCATTTTATATTCATAAATAATGAAACAAGTATACATCCTAGTTAGTATAAACGGTGTTTCAGTTCGAATGAATCAAACTTTAACCACAAATTGAACTCAATAAATAATTCAGACTTGCCTTATGAAGCAAGGGTCTAAGTCTCACCGTTTTCACTGTACAAGGCCGTATTGGTCGGTTGTTAAAATCATATTATTTACGAAATCCTTGGTATGCTTATAACAAATTGATTCAAATTTGGTGTGGTGTTAACATTTACACATGTGCATAATTTACTGTAAAATTTACAAATTTTTGTAGGTTAGTGGCGTAGGAATGGAACGATACACTATACCGATTTTCAACAAGTATGCCTTTTTTATGTAGAATTGTCCACGGAATCTAAAAATAAATCTCAAATGATTATTGAGTCATTGGCGTAGAAGTTTGGGTAAAAAAATCTCGCCTTTCTTCCCATTCCTACTTAAAATAAAAGTTAAAGAAAGCTTTAGGGTAAAGGAAAATCTTTAGTTGTTTCTTTATAGATTTTGAGATGCAGCAATTTATTATTTCTTGTCCACTTCTACTATTTTGTATTTATCTCAATTGGTAAGTTACTGGACCTAACACGGACCTTTGCGGAACGCCATAATGTAGTGGTGTGGGTTAGGTTTCACTTTCTTACTAACTGTTGCTTGAGAGTTCATTACTTCAATCATAATTTTGCGACATCTTAAATGTGGCTTAAATCAGGAATGCCCCCTAATACTATTCCATTTTACTCAACAAAATCTCGTGATTTACGAAATCAAATGTCTGTGAAATATTGCCATAACATACTATTTATCCTTCAGTGTTCTGCTAGATTTATAAAGTAAATTTAAAAAATTGTATAAATTTCTTGTATCAATGGTTTTATTTAAAAATTTTCCATATGTTGTCATTGACATTTTGTTCATACTAGCTGAATTTTTGGAGACGGAAATGAAAATTTACGTCCTGAACTCTTGCTAATATTCTTTAATTCTGTCAATAACAAATGAACAGTACTGCATGCTCAATGAGATGCTTATTACTTATGTTACTTTGTATATTACAATACAGAAAATCAAAATTTAACGATTTCTTTACAGTAACGTCAGAGCGGCGTCCTGAATCCGCCCCTGTGTTTGTATGTACGATTTACTCACGGACGTTAGACTTAACAGGAGATTATATGCTCTGATATTTTAAATATCGCTTATGCACAGCTAAATTCATTCAACTAAATGTAATTGTGATGCGTCCGGAAAATTCAATGTACTCTTTAGAACTTACACATTAAAATAGTATTGGCTATCCCGATAAAGTAAACGGCGGCTAGGCTGTTGAAAATTAACCCGCTTCTGGTGATGTAGGTATGCTGAAAATCCTGTAAAGCGGAGACGAATCAGTGGAACTCTTTCAATTAACAGATGCTTACCTTCATTTCTCTGTAGAACGTCCACAAAAAGAAGAAAACTAGAGGCAGCAGAAATAGTCTTAGGAACATTTGTCGGATACCATCTGCTCTGAAATTCAATGTTGCTGATAATAATCTCCTAAAATGCAAACATAAACCTGTAACATTAAACTTTATAACAGGGTTATTAACTAGCGTTTTACGAGGAAACCGATGTAAAACATTCAGCGGTTACAGTTTGTCGTTAATGTTTTTTTAATCTTTATTAACATAAACTCGTTTTAATTTCAGTGATACTGTAAGGCATTACGGACATAAAATAAATGAAAATTAATGTTATTCCTCCTGCAATACCAAAAAAAAATGTATGCAGAGTAGTAGAATTATTTGTAATTAGAGGATAACGTTTATTTTCGTACTAAATTGCAAAAACAGTTTTTTTACTTACACAAATATCGTACAACCTGTAGAAAAGGAACTTGCTCTACCCAACAACAAAGGGACCTTACTTCCATGGCTCATACCATGGTCCAACGTGTGATTTGGGCCGGTAACGGAGGATCCTTTTCTATAAGCACCGCCCTCTAACTTGAATTTTTCCACCAGGGCTGATATTTGATGGTTGCTTTCGACGAATCTTTCTCTCGATCTTCTGTCCACTGTAGATAAGCACACTGTACGACGGAAAGTAGTGAATGTTAATAAGACATTAGTTAACAATATTTATTTAGTTTTGAAGTCAGTCGCAGATAATGAAATTTCGATTAGGTTTTTAGTATAAAAACTTCAAATCTAAGAAAATCAATATGTTCAAAGCTTTAAGGACATTATTATACGAAGCTCTGTTTTGTTCAAGCAGAGCATAGATGTATCAAGATTACTAAAATTTAAACCCTTTCAACAGTATCTTTCTACTATTCATCTTCATTCAATTATAAAACCGCAAAAATTGTCTTTAAATTTTCTAGATTTGTTAATTTTTATAATAATTATTTACATGAGGATTTGTTGTCATTTAGTATAAAAAAGTGTGACGCGCTTTTTAGCTCAATTTACATTTTCCAATTAAGTAAACAGGTAAAGAATAATAATGATCAAGCACGTGTATCCGGAACTATTGGTCGAAATGGATCTATCTGCAGTTCACTGCATCTTCACTAAAGAATAATACAAAATTAAATTTCACATCGTCTCTGTGTTACTAAATCTGTTGATTTTTCAGTAGATTGATTTATTTCACGTTTGATCTAGTGATCTACTGATTTTTGTTCAAAACTTACTGAATTTTAAATTTCTGTAAAGTCGACATCCGTCTGGTAGTAATTTCTTAATTCGTGAGTAGATAAAACGTATTTTTAAATTAGACCAAACAACTACTCTGATTTCTGGTCACATATTCGAAGATCATTCTCAAACGAATGCAGCTTATATATGATCGAAGAGTTGCCTACTGATTTTTACAAATTTCTTTTAATGGCAACTAGTGATTTATTAAAAACTCATCCGGCAATACCGTAGAATAATTTTTAATTCATGGGTATCATTCGCGATGTAATTTTATTGCTGTTGTATGTCGTTTTGGCTGACGAAGAGGCTGGCGCAAATACTACGAGTAGGTTGACACATATTGCAATTTATTTTATTTTTAATATATTTTTCTAAAGATGTAAAGAGTTTTTTCTCTATGACATATTTCCACTTTCATTAATGCGTCAAGGTCTAGTTTTGATGAAATTTGGTGTGATAATTCTACATAGCATGAAGTTTTCTTGAACCAAGTATGAAAGTCCTATACCCAATTTAAAGACCTCAAAAAAATCCCTAAAAGGTAATTTTTTAACCCCATTTTTGGCGATTTTTTGCGATTTTTACATCAATCATGATTCATTCGATTTGTAACTAGTCATATTTTGTAAACAATTTAATTACAAACATTTTTTTCCTCTTCCATTTTCGCCTAAAATCGATTCTTGAAAAGATACATAATTAAATAGGAAGAAAAATATGACATTTTTCGAATTTTTTTAACATATTGTCCCGCCAAAAGTTAAGCCCACGTTTTTTTATGAGCATGGAAAAATTTTAATTTCTAGTGATATTTGAAAACCAAAAAGCCAAAAATCTCCGTGGATATATGATTCACCCAAACCAAAACAGATATCGCCTAGTCTAATTACTTATTGCAAAAAAAAACGACTAAAAATCGCATTTCTTTTGACCATCCACTTTTACCACCTTTAAAACGAAAATAGATTTTTTTAAGAAACCTTCAGAATATGTAGTCCTTAGCAAGTAGATTAAGTGCATTTTTGTAAAATTGCAAAATATTGGATAGTTTTTTCAATAATTGAGTTTTTCGAAAATAAAGGCATTTTTTTCAAATTTCAATATATCATACAAGTAATGCAAAATAATTGGAAATATGCGAAAAATCTACCCAAACTTTGACCTTTTTTTCGAGTCGAAAAATGTAGATCTTTTTTTATCCTTGAAATTTAATCGGAATGGCATTATAGTCGTTTAAAAGCTGACGTATTTTCACAAATTAAAAAAAAAATGATAATTTTTTTTCAAAAATTGCCACAACCTCATTGAACACCGTTTTGAAAACGAAGTAGTAACATGCAGCTGCGGTAAAATTGTTCATTCAATTCTACTTAATTTTTCCTAATTTTTACGTGTGTTTGTTTACCGAACTAAATTTTGGCAAAAAACGAGGTATTTTCGACAATTTGACTGGCCTATATGTTGTGGCGTGAATATTCGTATGTGTGGGCGGTTCAATTCGTTCTAGCGATACATGACGTCAGCAACGAGATGGGGAATTGTGTTTTGACACAGCTATATATTATATACAAACACAATTGAAGTTGATAGCGATACATAAGTCGCAAAACGTGAAATGTTCACATTTATGCATTGTATGAATCGTGTTTAAACAGTCAGGTAAGTACGTAGGGTCTACAAGTGAACATAACCTTAAATATTGTGTCAAAATAAGTATTTTGTTTGAAGACTGAAGAAGCTTTATCTGTGTTGTACAATAAAATGAATGACGTGATGTTTAGACTGCAACAGCGCTGGAAATATATAATTATTGGAAAAACGCTTGAAAGCCGTTTCAGTTTCATATCAAAATACGCCTTGATTTAGTCTGTCTCGTTAATGACGTCACCGCATGCGCGTAGACACACCACCGTATAGGTCAACCGATTGCCAAGTTGTAATAGAATTCACAATAAGTATTACTCGACGTATTTTATAAACGGCTAACATTACGACCATGAGATATACAACTCTTTTATTCATCCTACGCTGAAGTAATCTCAGAAAAACTTCTAACACGCTCTGAAATATTTGATTTACGTCTGTATGTATCTCTGGAAAATGAAAAAGCACGCGCTAGTTGAAAACGAACCCTTCGCAGCTTCTACCCACTTACAAATATACTTTCAGATTCCCGTAAATCGTAAATATTAAAACTGGCCCGCCCAAGATTCAGCTCGCGCTGATCTTGGCGCTACTTCTGCAGCTTCACGTGCAGTCCCCCAGACCCATAAACATCTCCGAATACTCACGGTAATACATGAGAGGATTTTCGAGCTGCGGACAAGGGAATCCGATAGCGTTGAAATACTCCAGCATCTGCCTCGTTCCGCCTGTGTATACGACGTCCCCGAGGCATAAGTAAAGAACCCGCTCCAAGAATGGGAATACGTCCGAGCGGGGCTTCTCCATCGTCAGAACGATGGCCGTGCCGTACTTCTTCGCCGCGTTCGATAAGATGGACACCACCAGGTAGGTGTTTAATGGGTCCAGGTCCCACGTCGGCTCGTCCAGCAATAGGACCACTGCGAGGAAGGAATTGCTTGTAAAATGGGTATTAAACTGTAGATATATACAGGGTGTTCCATTTTCGCTTAGCCGCAACATAACTTTGTTATTTTAAATGGAACACTCTGTATATTATTGCATTGATTAATTCCTTGGTTAATATTAGGTAGAGTTTATTAAATATACATGGTACAACTCCACCACCATGTACACCATGTATATTAATTTTTTTGCGATAGATCGTCGATAGTACAAGTTTGAGCACCCCTGGTCTAAAAGGTTACGTTTTAAACTGAAAAAAAATTTTTCACGTGATGGTTTAAACATTTATAGCCGTTCCTGGTGCGGACGGACAAACGCAAGTCTCATTTAAATTGTACTGACATTCTCCGTACATTAACACCATATCTGCTAGTTCTTGTCCATGTAGTGATTCTAGACGTGCACGTGCACAAGATGCACATTTACCTTTTAATACTTCGAAATCCTTCGAAAACTTCAAACCCCGTGGAAATAAGGTGATAGGTCAATAACTAAAGGTCAAATATGAAAAGTCAGTAATCGGAGGTTAATGACAGAAAGTCAAAGGTGGCTGTCAATGACTAGAGGTTAAAGGAGAAAGGTCAAGGAAAAATATGTAATTATATCGAATTACCTTCGAAAATCTTTCAATGCATCGAAATAATTTGGAAACTACAAACTACTTGGAAATCAGGTGAAAGGTCAATAACCAAAGGTCAAATATGACTAGTCATTGGAAGTCAATGATCGGAAGTCAAATATGAACATTAATGACTCGAAGATAATGATGAAAGGTCAAGGACCGAAAGTCAAAAGACGATGACCTTGCAATAGTCTTTGACCTTTCACTTTTGTTATCCAGTTATTGATCTTGAACCATTGACCTTTTATTTCTGGTCATTGACCTCCCATCTTTCAATTTATTTCGAAGAATTTGGAGATTCTAAAGGTTAGAGAGTTTTGATGTAAGTATTTTGTTAAAAAGTATACGTTCATATAAACCAGGGATGCACAGACTTATAGGGAACAGGGGCCACTCGGGAAAAATATAAGCCAAGGACGGGCCACTACAAACAATATCTATTAACACAAAATTTTTTATTTTTAAATAGTATGAAATACAATGATAAAAATAAAATAACCTTCAAAAATGTAATAATTATGTAAGTAATCATTACAATGTAATATTTCATGTTTTATTATTTTGATGCATGACATTGCATTGAACTAACAAGTTTTTTTATATTTGGCTCCACATTACTTGTAGCCACACGTATAATTGCTTCCAAATTTTCATTTGCCAGACGGTTTCGGTTTTTCGTTTTGTTAAGTTTCATCACTGAAAACGTTTGTTCACAAATATACGTCGATCCAAATAAGCTTGCGCATTTCAATGCATTTATTCGCAACTCTTTATAAGCGTTTTTATCAACGCAACGGTAGAAGTTGAGTAAATTACCTTCATTAAATTTGTTTCTTAAATTATCATCATTTTGCATGTCTATTAATTCCAGCTGCATTAATTCCGGCGCATTTTCGGGTGAAATGTTGAAAGGATTGCTGAAAATGTCCAATAGCGGTTTAACTTTTTTGAAGTCTACAAAACGATTTTCAAAAGCTTGTATCAAAATATCAATTTTTTCAACATGAGCGAAATTGACGTCAGTTTTATTGAACTTCTCCATAATTTTTTTGTAGTTCGGAAAATGGCCGTAATTGGCTGAATTGATTTGTGTCCTGAAAAGACTCAATTTGCATTGAAAGGACGAAACATGAGAGTATAGCTGCGAAATCAATTGATCTTTGCCTTGGAGTCGCGTATTTAAGACATTCAAGTGATTTGTGATGTCTACAAGAAACGCTAAGTCACACAGCCAATCAGGGTTGTCGAGTTCGGGGACGTCGTTTTTCTTTTCCGCCAGAAATAGTTGGATTTCTTCAATCAAGTTAAGAAATCGCTGTAGTGTCAACCCACGACTTAGCCACCTTACTTCAGTGTAAAACAGGAGATCACCATATTCGCTTTCAATATCCTCGAGAAATTGTTTGAATTGTCGGTGATTGAGACCTCGTGATTTTATAAAGTTTACGGTAGGTACTACAACTTTCATAACATTTTCAAATCCCAATAATTTTGAACAGAGGGCCTCTTGATGTATAATACAATGAAACTGCATTAATTCCTTGGTATTTATGTTTTTAGTTTGTAAATATGTTTTTAACAGAGTTACTATCCCAGATGTACTTCCAACCATTGAAGGTGCTCCGTCAGTTGTAATTCCAGATATTTTCGTTAAATCCAAATCCATTATAGAACATTTTTCTAGAAGAGCTTTGAGCATGTCACTTCCCCTGGTTTGACTTGTCAAAGAACTCATACCAATCAGTTCTTCACTCACTTCAAAATTTTGCGTTACACCTCGTAAAAATATTAATAGTTGAGCAGTTGAACTTATATCTGTAGATTCGTCGAGCGCTATAGAAAAATACTCAAAACTTCTCGATTTCGTAGCTAATTGCTCTTCTATATTATCTGCTAATGCGGTAATTCTTCTTTGAACAGTCATCCGATTTAACTGAATTTTTTCAAACTTCTTTACATTTTCCGGACAAATTTTTTTTGCGGCGATATCCAAACATTGCTTAACAAACTCACCATCTTTAAAAGGCCGACAAGTTTTCGCTATTATTCGAGATATTTCAAAGCTAACTTCAGTGGCTGTTTCAGCATCTTGAATTGGTTTTGTAAACATAGATTGCTGGCCTATTAGTTCCCGTTGTAAAGTGGAAATTCTTTGCGTTCGATTTTCGCCAGTTAATTTGGTAAAAGTTGGATGCTGGGTTTCATAGTGCCTTTTCACATTATATTCCTTCGGAATAGAAACACTACTCTTGCATATTAAACAGACAATTTTGTTATGCGATGAAATAAAAAAGTATTTTTCGGTCCAAATATCATGAAACTGTCGATTTTCATCTTCAACCTTACGACTACGTTTCTTACTGGGGCCTGGTTTATCCATATCAAAATTAATATTATATGTTACAGTCGGTAAAAGCCAAGTTCGAACGACGAAATATTTACTCGTCACAGATTACAGTTCTCAAACAGTATAACGTTCGCTTATCCGTAGTCAAAACTTAACTGCCCCGGTAGCCGGCGATGCGTCGTATTTATACGAGTTACCAAACATCGAGAACCATCCACTTTGTTCGGGGATCGACGTGTTTCGCGAATCTGTAATCTAGTTGATGCGACAGATTTCTAGTCTCGTAATAATATGCTTGGACCGGAGCGCGGCGAGTAGAATACTTTTAAAATTCGTTGGCGGGCCGCATAAACATCGACAGCGAGCCGCATGCGGCCCGCGGGCCGCGGTATGTGCATCCCTGATATAAACTGTTTCTCTTATTTTTAGGTGAAATACAGCAAGCTAATTTTGAGACATCCTGTAGTATATTAAAGTGTACTTGGTTGTAAAATATAGAGTTACAGTCCAAACGATTAAAAAATTCGAAATGTTGGGATGTAATTAATGAACTTAGTAAATTTCAAAACTAATTTATTGGCAATTTGAAGTTTCAATTCAAAATGTCCCTTGCAGCGATCGCCATCACGAAAAAAATAAAACTGCGGTAAAAGAAATATTCTTAAGTTGTTTTCCAAGTCTGAGACTACAAACAAGACAGCCAGAACGTTGTTAGTTCACCTCTAAAAGACTTGTCGTTGTTAATAAATTGTCATTAAACTTCGCAAAAGTATTATAAGTTATATTTTAGTTACTGATGTCTGTACGTTATTAAAACATCATCTTTAGAATCAAAACTGAATTTATTTTTACCTGGATCTTTTATCAATTGAACACCAATCATCAGCCTCCTGTACTCGCTCTGCGTCAATCTGTCTATACATCTATTGGAGACCTGAGATAGTGCCAGATCTGCCATTACTTGTTTAACTTTAGACTTCTTCAAGTATCCAGTTAACTAAAAAAAAAAAACAACGGACATAGGTAGATATACAAACAAGGTACATGTTCGTTGTTCTAAGAAAAGACCCCCGTACGCCTGAGTTGCAACAGAGGTAATAAAATATGTCTTATCCATTACATCATTGTTTCCCTGACAAACTAGCATGACAGCTATGTAACACAACATATAATTTAGCAAAGTTTATGTACCGAGGCAGCAAACAGTGGATATGGAAAATGCATCTAGCAGTGCAGTAGTCAAAGATATTTTCAAGAAGTTATTTGTTTGTGTAGGAAAAAACAACCACAACCATATGCAGCTACAAATACAATCATATGCTATTAGACTAGGCTGAATCTGTTTTGGTTTGGACGAATCGTATATCCACGGAGATTTTTAGCTTTTTGGCTTTCAAATATCACTAGAAATGAAAATTTTTCTATGCGCATAAAAAAAAACGTGGGCTTAACATTTAATGTATATTTTCAAGAGTTGATTTTAGGCGAAAATGGAAGAGGAAAAAATGTTTGTAATTAATTTTTTTACAAAACACGACTAGTTACAAATCGAATGAATCATGATTATTATGGTAAATATCGAAAAAATTGCAAAAATTTTTTGGGGTATTTAAATTGGGTATAGGACCTTTATGCAATCCAGATTTTGAAAAAAAAAATTGCAAATTTTCAAAATTTTGCACAGCAAAAACCAAGGCTCTTAGATACTTAAAAATTTAATCACATATAGAAGGGCTCTCAATCTCTCAAATTTTTTTGAAAAATTCGAATCCGTCAATTAGGAGAGCTCTGGCGCTTGTTTAAACATTGGTCGAATTTTTGTACTTATAAACAATTAGAATAATTTTGTGAATATTCAATCAAATCAAGTTTTTTAAAGCAGGTTTTAAAAGTTCTTGGAAAGACGCTTCTTTTAAAAAAACATAACGATTGATCAATTAGTTACATAGTTATAGCCGATTCAAATTCGAGCAGGCCGAAGAGGCCGCGCTCTCTGCTTCCCCCACCACCACCACCCGTACGATTTTATTGAATTTCTCGCTTGCTTAAAAAACTTTAAACACGTTTTAAAGTAGGTTGCCAATGAAGAAAAGTATTGTAATCTTAAACCTGGTAAGTACTCGGAATACCAAAGGTATTTTTCGAAAAATTAGCCCGGATGTCCCAGTATATTTAGTGTAAATGACGGCTATAACTATGTAACTAATTGATCAATCGATCTGTTTTTTTTAAAGAAGCGTCTTTCCAAGAACTTTTAAAACCTGCTTTAAAAAATTTGATTTGATTGAATATTCACAAAGTTCTAATTGTTTATAAGTACAAAAATTCGACCAATGTTTAAACAAGCGCCAGAGCTCTCCTAATTGACGGATTCGAATTTTTCAAAAAAAGTTTGAAAGCTTGAGAGCCCTTCTATATGTGATTAAATTTTCAAGTATCTAAGGGCCTTGGTTTTTGCTGTGCAAAATTTTGAAAATTTGCAATTTTTTTTTCAAAATCTGGATTGCAAAATTATTATGCAAAATCTATCGAACCGATTTTGATGAAATTTGGTGTGATGATTCTACATAACATGAAGTTTTCTTGAGCCAAGTATAAAGGTCCTACACCCAATTTAAATACACCAAAAAAATTCCCTAAAAAGTATTGTTTTTTAACCCCATTTTTGTGATTTTTTCGATTTTTACCATAATAATCATGATTCATTCGATTTGTAACTAGTCATGTTTTGTAAAAAAAATTAATTACAAACATTTTGTTCCTCTTCCATTTTCGCCTAAAATCAACTCTTGAAAAGATACATAATTAAATAGGAAGAAAAATATTACATTTTTCGAATTTTTTTAACATATTGTGCCAAAAGTTAAGCCCACGTTTTTTTTATGCGCATAGAAAAATTTTCATTTTTAGTGATATTTTAAAGCCAAAAAGCCAAAAATCTCCGTGGATATACGATTCACCCAAATATAGCTTCTTGAAACAGATACCGTCTGGACTATATGATATTTAGAACTACTGAGAAAGCAAGTTGATGACAAATTACCAAATTTTATATTCCAGTTTTCTTACATTAAATTTTGTTCTCTGGTTTCGTAAGAAATATCGCAAATAAAACTGACGCTTACCTTTATCATATAAAGTGCTTTGCTATCCTTTTATATTATGCCGAAGGTGTTTTGATAAATGCTACTTTTAGTGAACATTGCCTTAAATCAATTCACATTAAGGGTCCACCATTTGCAGAAGTATCAAAATAAATCTAATAGATAATGTATAAACTATTTTGATGTAGAATCTTATGATAATGAATTTTAATTATACTTTATTGTATATTGTATTGTATTTGTTGTATTTTTTATTGCATATTGTATATTTGTACAACAGTATTTCGGAAAATACGGTATCTTTCAGTACATTTTGCACCTCTATGGTTATTTTTTGAGATAGCAAAACAATTAAAATTATTAGACTTTATTAAGTTTCATACTGAAGTCACTAGAGATAAACTAAAGTCATTTTGGATCAAAATCCCTTTTGCCAGCCCTGAATTATAAGAGTAAATCTTCAGTCCCTCCTTCGCAAGCTTTCGGAACAGGATCGCATTCTGCTTAAATTTAAGCTGTTCACGGTTGGTTCAATTTTGTTCCTGTTTTGTTTATTTTGGATTAATGCAATATGTCAGCACCGATTGGATGCTGAAGTGTCTAAATAAGAAAAAAAAAGTAGAAACATCGTATTTTGTTTAGAATTTTATAACTTTTTAGTATTACCATTTTTAACTTTCATGAATGCGACTCTGTCTACTTTAGTGACAGATTGCTTAAAAAAACAGTAAAACATAAATTAGTTTCATTTGCAATTAGTAGCGTATCTATGTAGTTAATTATCATGTAACAAAATGTTTCCCAGGTACAAAGGTACCTAGAGAAGAGAAGGGGGATTCAATTTTTAGTTGAATGACCGCATTCATAGGAAAATCAAATTATTCAGCTCTTAAGCTACACCTAAGCAACATTTTTATCGTGCGAAGGTCCTTTTGAAACTTGCCTCAATTAAACTTTTGCAATCCGACTCTCGCGGCGCGCCAAGCACAAAAGAGAATAGAAAGCTGTACATCAATCGACGGCGTCGCCGTATCGAGACTGACATTAAAGTGATGCAGATTTAGACCTTTCGCGATTAATTAAATTTACCAACCTTGGTGGGTGTGTAGTACAAAGTCTGCTCGACTGTTAATCCGGGAATGAAGTCGCATTTGTGTGTGACATAACCGCACCTCTGTTGGAACAAGCACAGGCTCATGGGTTGGTTGTTCAGAAGGATCTGGCCCCTGACGGGGCCCTGGGCGCGACGGGATATGACGTCGAGGAGGGCCTTTTTTCCACTACCTGAAAGCATAGTTCGTTAACCTTTCTAGAATCGAATGAAAGAAATGGTGTGTAATTAAAATAAAGGGGCGAATAGAATTCTTAACTTCATCATGTTTAACTACTTACATGATTGTAAATTATTATTATCTTTATTCATAATGTACTCTAAAACTGCAAAAATATGGAAATATTTTATACATTTTAAAGTTCCAAAATCTTTTTTGCATATTTTTGATAACAAACCGAATTTGAAACGTTCAAGGCAAAAATCTCGCTCACGAACGAGCGCGACGTTCACGCGCATGCGCGGGCCCAGCGCTCCTTCTCCCGTATGCAGGCCGTTCATTAACTACTGCTGCTAGCGCGATTATTACATGAACAATCAATGTAAAGCTTGCTAAATATAAATGTTTAACTCTGTCTTTAATTGACTCTGAAATCCCGATCCGATACGTCCAATAATTAATTGACAATTAAATTTTTTAAATTACCGTAAAAATAAGTTCTGTTTAGTACAAAAAGAGCGAATTCCCGAGGGACTTTTGCCTGACCCTGAAACTGTTTGTTTATAACGCTCTTCTGCACGCCCTACTTTATTAGTTGTAAAGGGCTACCAGTGGCGGCTCGTGAAGGAGGACTCTGGGACTCCGCCCCCCAATAATGTATTTATTAAATCAATAAAAAATCTAAATAGTATGCAATCAATATGTCATATATGTTAGGTTGGTTGTATAAAGTGGATGTACTCCGTGAACGTACCAGAGAGTTATGTCTGACCGCGCGCGCAATCCCCAGTCCATCGCGGACGGTGAAATCGAAGTCCACCGTGAAATCATATTTTTACATATGATTGGACAAATTGGCACGTGGAGGGGTAGGCGGCGATAGGCTCATGCGCTTTATTTTGGGACTCAATGTATCCCGTATCACTGCAGTGTAGTTATACGTGTTTTGTTTTGGGTTTGGCGCTTTTTAAGACATTATATTTTATAAGTTTAAGTTTAAAATGAGGGTTCGTGAAATAAAAAAACTTGTTTATTAGTAATTTAAGTTTAGAGGAAAAAGTCGAATTGAAAATTAACGGACGTCCAATGCCAGTGTTGAATTTAGTTCAGGTACAGAAAGAGTGCAAAAGTAGGCCAGTTTTTAAGGAAATTACTCAAGCTTTACAAATATTAGTGACGATACCAATGACAACAGCAGAACCAGAACGGTGTTTTTCAAAACTAAATCTGATTAAAACTTTTTTGAGAAATACTATGTGTGAAGATCGTCTAAGTGCGTTAGGAATGTTGTCCATTGAGAACTGTATGGTTAAAAATATTCCAGATTTTAACGAAAAGGTGACACAGAAGTTCAGTGCGGACAAAAGCAGGAGAATGGATTTTAATTTTAAAAAATAGGTGAGTGCATTAAACAATATAAATTGATGTTATTAAAATAGTAAATAATAAATAATTGAGGCAGTGCCTCCTCTGTAAAAATTCCCAAGAATCTTTTTATAAATATTTTTCATCTCTAAATCTACATATATCCCAGCTGGGTTGGTTGATCGATCATCCACTTCAGCCCCACACGTTGGAATTGTACTACTTGTATTGTATCTAAGTACTGTATCTACAGACTGACAGCATTCATTTTGATGTACCTATGTACTTGAAAAACACAATGACCTTGAAATTCCTCAAAATTTTCTCACCCCCCGCACCTCCTCTCATATACGTTCTTTCATCAAAACGCGCCCCCCCCTGTGGTTAAACCCACGGGCCGCCACTGAGGGCTACTTAATTTCAACTTTTTGTAATTTTTCTTTTCGATGCATTTTTTTGGATCAATTAGAAACTACATCTACGATATCAACTTCTAAAATTTTAAAAATTAAACAATTACAAAAAAACAAACGAAATTAATTAACAAATAGCTGGAGCAACAATTTCACGGTCAATCAAATCGGCCTTTGTCACACATGTTGGTCTTTGGATTGATAGTCCAGGGAATGAAGAGAAAAATAGATTAAAACCTCCGAATACTTTCGGATAGATCCGATTTTTATGAAAATTGGGAATTAAGCTTATTTCATCCTGTAGATGAAAAGTTATGAATGCTTGATATGCGCTTGGTATTTTTAAAAACCACCACTTATGCTAAAAAACTGAATAAATAAAAAATAGGTATTGTATAGACTAAAATCATGTCTTAATATATAGAATACATATTGTTTTATATTTTGGGTTATAATTTACGTTATTTTTATAAAGATTCAACCCTTAAAAACCACCCTTAATGATAAAAATATAAAATTAAAATAGTTTCTTTGACCTTAAAATATTTTTATAGATTGTAGATTTTTATAGATGTAAATCTTTTTATAGTATTATAAACAATTTATTACAATATTTCAACCCTTAAAAACTACCTCTAATAACAAAATATTAAAAAAAAAAGTTTTCAACGGTTTGAAATGGTTTGATGATTCTTTTACCTGTTTATAATACAATTTATAATTTATCGCATTGTTTTAACTCTTAAAAACCCAATGACAAGAATATAAAAAATAGCTTAGAAATTATTTAAAATGAATAATAATTTTTTTTTCGTAAGAACTTTCTTTCTCGCGATTTACTTTAATTTATGCAATATTCAAAATAATTATTTGAAAGTCATAATTTGAAATTTTCAATTATATATACATATTATTTAATTATGTATATCTACCTATGGATGCTCCAAAGTTGTGAATAACCAAAATATTGATATGTTCCGAAAATGAAGTGGTAAGGTACCGTTGGTTTTTTAACGATAACTTTCTTAGTTTTAAAGCTATTGAGACGATCCAAAAACGATTTTACGGAAAATTGCGACGGCTAAAAGTAATGTAAAATTGAATATTTTTTAAAGCCTTATTTTTGGGATTTTTGAAATTAAAGGGTATGAAGAACAAAACCTCAACTGCAAACTTCTAGCAGCGACATCTCTGTTAATTTTTATCCTAAACAAATAAAAAAAAACAAAATATTCTGTGAAAAAAAACTTTTGTACCCTTGAATATTTTTCGTATCATTTTTATTTTTAAATTCATTTTCAAGAATATGTTATATTTTTGGAATTAAAAAAAGACAATCAAAACGTAATATTTTCAAAAATATGCATTCTAAACCGCTTAAACTTGTATAATATATTGTTAGCACATAAATAATATAAATTGTAGAAGGATTACCTATAATTTTAAATCTCGTGAAAAATTCATCAGTGTTTGTACTGTTTTTTTTTCCGAAAAAGCGAATTAACTCTTTTATTTTGATCATATCTCTAAAAAAATGTTCTGTGCATTTTTCTTGAAAAATAGATTTTTTTTAGTTATTTTACGTTAAATGCTTCAAATTTAGTTTCTGGCGGATATGAAATTATCTTCAACTAACCGTATCTCAGCACCTATTGCACCTACATAAATGAAAAAAAACTCAATATTTTTCTTTTTCTATAAGCTTCATATTCTTCTAGACGTTTTTTTTTTCATAGAATGTCTATTTCCCGAGTTATTCTAGAAAAACTACTGAAAGACGTCTTTTTTTGTAGAAAATGTACATTTTCAATCACCAATAACTCAGAAAATATTGACGTTTCTTTCTGTTTTCCTCTACAGTTATTTCAACGCATACATTCTAGATCCAAAAATTTCCGAATCCACCTACCTTTAGATCCTAAAACAGCCAATACTTCACCAGAATGAACCGTCATAGAAACGTCCTTTAGTATAACTCCAGTTTTTATATTTCCTACCATTCTTTGCACGCATGACCCTGGTTCCACCTAAAGTAAATTATCATTGTTTAAATAACCGAAAATTTGAATATACTCGAGATGTTATGCTAACCACAAACAAACTGGGAAGTGTACATTTATCTCTTTACTGCTGCACAATTATGAATTGCATTTGCATTTTAATTTTTATTATTATGTCCTTCTATAATTTATTTGGTGTTATCAATTTAATATTACTCAGAATAAACGTAACCCACTTCATAAACAAACTTACAAGGGACGTTAAAATGAGATTTCTTGACATTAATTGAAGATAGAGTTTCTCTTTGTTGTTGCAAAATCATCTATTTTTGTTTTTGTAAACGTATTAGACTGACACCAAACAAATAATAGGTATACCTTCTCAGTAAGCACAAACCTAATTATATATTACATTAATATAACATTATTTTACCTGTCCGGAGTAGAACACATTGCACAGTTCTAATATATAGTCACTCGAAATCATATTGTGTGATTTATTTTAACTTTTCGGCACTGGAAGTATATCTTATCTCACAAAGGGACAGGTGATTATTAACAGGTAATCAGCATCCTGAATAAACATCAGTCTACCTGTGGGTGAGCTCTTTATACAACAGGTAGGTATGGCTAACTGACTATAGTTGACTTCATAAGCTATGTGAAAAGCAGAAAGCAGTATTGATATGGAATCAGCCAAGGGAAAAGAGGGGATCTATCAATTTTGAAGTATTTTTTTTAACTGTATATACCGTAATGAATTGCAGGTGACATATATTTGGCACAGTTCACATAAACTTTGTTGTTTCAGTTACAATAACCATATGATAGGTTGTCACGTTAACCTCACTAATTATTAAAAAAATAGTTATTAAATTAATGTACCTATGTTATTATTTGTCGGTGATTATGTATAGAACTTTGTTATTATATTGTAATCAAACCATTGCATTTAAACACAATTGTAAACAAAATAACCGTATAAACAGATACTTGTCCAGCACTACACACTGTACACCCCTTCAGGAGATGACCTAATAGGGATGATGGGAGTAGACAAAGACAACGCACGACAACCATAGAATGGGGTGATGTCACTCAATAATCAGGACGTTTACGCCGATTTAGCTACAAGTGTACCAAATACAAGTTTATGCATTTTTGTGAATTTATAATCTTCAAGTGTTCTATTTTTAAAGGTGTGTTGAATAATACTTAGTATCTTAATGACCTGTACAAGACACCTGTGTCGACACGTAAAACCCATCAAGAAGTATTTTCGGCGTTAAATTAACGAAAAATGCCTTCCCAGAGTACCGCGATCAAAAGACGGCCGACGTACGACGTATCAAAACTGCTTTTCGCAACACATTTACGGTATACCTACCGGGGGAATGTTCTTTGCAAAGTTGGCAGTGGATTCCTCGATATGTCAGATGCCGAGTTTGTTACAGTACATCGGCATTTTGGCCAGAAGTGTGGTGTGTAGTACCGCCTGCGGTTACGGTGTTCTTTCCCTCAAAAAAAAATACCTTTTGTTCTGGTCTGACTGACTGCGTGCAGGAACTTTGTGTGTGAACCTGGACTTGTGATTAACTTTTCGATGTACTTACCAGTTTTGAACGATGTTACTGACAGTGTTAGCGAAGCCTAAAGGGAGGGATTTTAATGTTTGAGTTATGAGAGGTATTTTTTTTTATGTTGTTCACATAGGCTTAGTCATTTTCAACAAATAGTCGCATTTACATCGTTTATGTCAGGATTGGTGTATGAAATTATGAACCACATTTTAATTATTGTAAACCCACCCCAATTTTGAGATTTTCCAATGACTTTTGATGTGTTAAATTACTCATACAGCGTGTTTACAACTTATTTTGTCACCGCGATAATAATTTTAAAGCAATTATTTGCTTGTAAACTTCGTCAAATGTTTTACTGTAAGCAGATTTGTTCCAAAGTTAATAAAAGTTTTTATTTTATTGTCGAATATGCTGAAAATATTTATGATTAATTACGCTCGACAAGGTGTGCTAAATTAAATATCCTGACGCTTATCACGTTTATTATTGTTAAGTATAGAAACATAATATAGGAAGATTGGTTTATTTATTTAGCATAATGTTCATAAAAGCTTTATAGGTATTTGGTGCAACAAAATAAAGTTTATGTTGCTTTTGAATGACAATACAATATTTAGTTTAAATCCAAACGATTTTCTGTTTCCACGGAAGTAAATAAACATAAAAAAGTATTCTCTTTTTCGTCGGAATATTTAGTTCAGTGTAAAACTGTCGCCTGGTTCGCGGCGTAACTGAGAATTGAAAGTACCGATTTCATTCTGTTTCTTAAATAACGGTTATATCGGAATCTACCGAAACTAGATCACTGTCCGATCGTACAACTACACCTGAGTATTTTCTTTTTAATTAAGGCTTTACCGAAACTAAATTTTTTCGAACTGTACCAAAGTACAATTTTATTATCGCGGAATCGGTAACCCAGATTTCTAGATTAAATAACAGCGTTGTAGGTATTTTGTTTGAATCAATCAAGACGTCTTTAGTACACAGTGAGCAAAGTTGTGAGTACAGGATTGTTTCCTTATATTTTTGTGTCATAATTTTGCAATTTTCTCTACAATTGATTTTCAGTTACACAAAAAATACTCAATTTAGAAGATCTAGTTAGAGGCTCTCTTTGCGTTTAACTGAAAATTGGCTCAATCATTTTATTCTACGTTAATAATAGCGTAACAACATTGAATTTCGTTACAATCGGTAAAATGATAAGACTCAAAAAAATTTCAAATTTCAAATTTAACTTTGAACTTCAATAACATTTTCTGGTTTGTTACCCAAAACCCCCATTGAAATGTGAAATATTATTATCACCAAATTTGTATTGCTTATTACTGTTGTATTAGCCAAAAATTTTCACCGCCTGTTCACTTTCATTGAATAGAAAATACAATTTTAACATCTACTATTTCGCTACTCGTATAAACTATTACAATTCAGTTCAATACTAATAGCTTCCTTGATTATTAATAAAAAAATAAACCGATAAGTTGGGTTGTCATGTTAGATTTTTTGTTATGTCAAAGTTCTATTTTTTTCGTAAATGTAACCGCTTTCGAGCAAAAAATTAATTGGATATTTGTGAGGTGTATTTTTCATTATCAGATCACAACTATGCGTCTATAATGGTTTTTGAGTGATTTTGGAAGAACCGATGATTACAATTTTAAGGACATTGTTCATCGACTGATTCTAAATGTCCTTTCGGTGTAACCTGTCGAATTTAACTGCTAAATCGTATCTAAAGAACTTATATTTATTGCCGTTGATAAAAACATCTGTATTGTCTGAAATGTCTGAATAATCCTATTTCATTAACAATGCCATCTGATTTAATGAAGATTACAAAAAGGTGGTCTTCGGTATTCGCATTTGCAATTTAGATATTCTTAAACAGCAGGTGTTAATTGACAAAACTCTGTAACCTTGATATCGAAATGTCCACGATTGCTTGATCTGTTGAATGAAATGGATATTAAATATTTCGTAGATTCGCTTATTACTTTACATAACTTTATACAGAAAGTATACTCTGCCAATCTTTGATGGTGTATCGTAATGTCACAAATCAATAAAAAATTGTCTATAAATGTGTATGTAACTTGGGAAAATATACAGGGTGGTCCGAATTTTATGCAGGAAACTTCGAGGGCAGATAGATCTCTTTAAAATAATAGGTGTTTGCCTTATAAACATAGGTCTGGAACGACCTCGTTTTAGAGATACAGGATGTTGAAGTTGTTAAAAAAAAATTTTTTTGTTTATATCTCCGGAATCCAACGACCGATTTCAATAAAATTTAGTACAGATAATGTATGATAGTAGGTCTTGTATTCCCTAAAATATAAGCTCTAAAGATTCAACCAGTGGTGTACAACAGGACAGGGTCACCCCCTTTTTTATAAAAAAAAACCTACGCCACTGTATTTTTTATAAGCTATTGTAACGAATTTATATTCTAATGCACATAATACGTAAAAAAGGTAACTTGAATTTTTTCCCTAAAGTTCACCGTTCCCAAGTTATTCATACCAATACAATCCCCTTGTGGCATACACTTCTAACCATAATATTACAAGAATATGTCCTTATGTTTATGCTTAAAAGAAAGTGCAATTTGTAAACACATCAACAAAATTTTTTACACTCATCGCTTTCATCTTTTTGGATTGAAACAATATTTGGAGAAACACGACAAAGGAATGAAAGGCTCAGAAATGTAATTTTAAAAGCATTTGACGACGATCCTCGGCTAAGTAGGTACACGAAGAACTTGGGGTGAGTAAATCGAAAATTTGAAAAGTTCTACGTAAGAATGGCAGTAATCCGTACCATTTACAACCTGTGCAAAATTTACTTCCAGGAGATGCAGAGAGATCGTCTGAATTTTTATCAGTGGTTGTTTGAATTCTTACTAGAAATACTTTGGACCGATGAGGCTACGTTCACAAGGCGAGGGGTAGTGAATTTTCACAATCTGGATATTTGGTCACAAGAAAATCCTCATGAAATTCGGAGTCATTTCTAAACTTTCTAGAAAACCATCTATTTGAATTATTAGAGGATGTTCCATTAAATATACGACAAAATAGCTGGATACAAATGGATGGTGCTCCTGCGCATTTTAGGAGAATAATACAAGAATGGCTTAATGAAAATTATATGAGATGATGGATAGGTAGAAGACCAAATGCCAATGTCAACCATAATGGTGCAGAGGGTCCAGTGTCTTGGCCAGCCAGATCGCCAGATCTAAACTCCCTGGACTTCTATGTTTGGGGTGACCTACCTGAAAAGTTTACTCTACTCCAATAGATACTAGACCACAACTACTGCAGCGAATAGAAGACGGGTGTAATGAATTAAAAGAAAACCACCACATGATATTAGCTTCAATTAGTTCCATTAATAGAAGATGTCAGAAATGTATCGATGTGGGTGGTTCGCATTTTAAACAATTGCTGTAAATACGTAACGTTAATTTTGTTTCTTGTTTAGTTGTTGTTGCTTGGTAAATGTATTTTTATTATTATTTTGATTTAAATTGTTCTTATTTGTAAAGATAATGCCTCCAGGGAAAACTAAAACACACCAGGAACACTACCTCACAAGTGATGTGGAAAGAATTTTGTTGATGTGCTTACAAATTGCACTTACTTTTAAGCATAAACATAAATATTTTTGTAATATTAGATTTGAAGTGTCTGCCACAAGGGGATTGTATTTGTATGAATAACTTGAAAATGGTGAACCTTAGGGAAAAAATTCAAGTTTCCTTTTCTACGTATTTAGTGCATTAGAATATAAATCCGTTACAATAACAATACAATACAGTGGCGTACGTTTTTTTTTATAAAAAGGGGTGACCCCTGTCCAGTTGTACACCACTAGTTAAACCTTTTGAGCTCATATTTTAGGGAATGCAAGGCCTACTGTCGTACATTATTTCTACCAAATTTTATTGAGATCGGTTAATAGATTCCTGAGATATAAACAAAAAAAAAATTTTTTTAACAACTTCAACACCCGGTATCTCTAAAACGAGGCCGTTCCAGACCTATGTTTATAAGGCAAACACATATTATTTTAAAGAGATCTATCTGCCCTCGAAGTTTCCTGCATAAAATTTGGACCACCCTGTATATAGCCTTTGTTTAAATATGTGCCAAGATTCTTGAAGAAGATTGATGAAACTGACCATTAGTTGAGTAATTCTGGACAAAAACTAACTTAATACACAAATCTACCAACCAGTAGCGGAGATCTGGGAAACGCCGTCTCTAGAAACCTAAATTTCAACGCCACTGACGTCCAGTTGGTAGTTCCAACAAAAAAGATATTTTCATAAATTTGAGTTCACATCATAGTTAAACAGTTATAAAATATATTAAAATAGTCGTCTTGAAACTAAAATTATAGGAATTTTGTTAGAAATGCAATTTTTTAAATACTGATGATTTTTTTAACTTTTCTGAACAAATATTTATAAAAAAAATATATATTTTTAGCGTTTTCAATCATGGCACATATGTAATGATATTCCTGCGGCTAATTTTGTTAAAAAATATTTGAAACTGTTTTAATGTTGTTGAATATACAGTTCCTCAGACAATTCTGTACAGCAACAAACTTTCTCGATCTAATTTTAACATTTTCTAAAACAAAATTGCAACATTTTAACGGGTAGAGACGGCTATAGAAATACCTTAAATATACACTTATAATCAAGAGTTGTACTTCTATTCATAAGTTACGTAAGGTGATATAGAAGCATTTAACTATTTTCATTTTAGTAATTATACCAGTTATTATGCAAACGTAGCAGGCAATGGAATCGTTAAAAGCACTGCACATAGTATACTTATAGCTGTAGGAATACTAGATCACAGGTGAACGCATTCCAATAAATTTTATCTCTCAAAGTGCAGTTAGAAACCTCCCGATGTGGAAAGCGAAGATCAGGCGCGTAATAATTATTCAAATGCTGTAATTTAATTCGCGGGACTGTCATGGGCGTAGCCAGGTTTTTTCTTGGGGGGGGGGAGGCTGCTACAAGCTCTCTAAATAAAAAAAAGCCAGAAAAAAAAATTAAACGAGTGTGCAAAA